TATCGCTCTGCTGACCCTTGGGGTCCATTTTATTTTGGTATACCTTTTCTAGGTACGTTAGCCTGTGACCACGGAAATTGGCCGAGTCAAGTGATGGATTAGTACGGAGAGATTGAGACAGAAGGAGGTACTGGATAGAGAGACCGGGATGGTTTTTAATGTGAAGACAACAACAACAACAACAACAATGGGAAGAGGTGCGAAGAAGTGCCTGAGTTCCAGACAGAGAAAGAAGGGACACACCGACAACCCATGTGTGATGTGTGATCGAATAGATGGGAAAAGAGACCGGTGTGTTCGGAATAATAATCCGGTATAATGAAAATAAGTGTGAGAAAGAGAGAGAGAGAGAGAGAGAGAGAGAGAGAGAGAGAGAGAGAGAGCCAAAATCCAAGGTGTGTGGAACGGAATTGAAGCGGAGTGAGAAAAGGGTGAAAACGATGATTGTGAGAGGGCCTGAACAATCGGGAAATACTGCTTTGTGAGAGCCCGAAAAAACGACAAAACGGAATACTGAGCTCCCAGGCGTCCACGCGGAAAATGAATAGAACGTTCCCACGGAATTGTAAACTGATACAACTGTTACCGTTTGAAGTGCAAGTTAAACGGGGGGGAAGCACGATCGAGCGGCGAACACGGGTGAGCGGTTGACCTCTAGTCAACACTCCGAACGCAAACCGGCTGTTTAGAACAAGCCTTAGCGAGAATGCTTACAGCGGTGCTGTACTGTACTCCCAGGAATCCTTGTCATTGGCCCGGCAGATTTTGCCATTTTCGTGAACATATGCGACACCCTAGACTGGACATGCCCCGCAAATCAGTGACCATGGGGCATTTGTCGGCATTCATATATTATTTCTTGCCCCTTTTCACTCGGCAGAAATAATCGCGGATGGTATCGGGGCTGTGCGTCGTGCATTGGAAGAGGTTTCCCGACACCTGCCGAAGGACGAGTACACCCAGAGGGAATACGCACAGCGGTTTCTGGAAGCCAGTCGGGAAGGAGGTCGTGCGCAGCCATCCGAAAGGAGAGGGCAAGGACACATGTGAGAGGGCGATGCCGTGGTAGATGGAAACAAGCGGGTCTTCGCAGGGCCCTGGCAATCGTTCTGCGCTCTGCCTCGCTAGTCAGACGGCACTACTTAACGCGGGTAGAAAATTTGGGAGCGAAAACGTTGATTGAGGAGCCGCTGTTGTTCCGGGACTTGATGGCAGAATTGATGTACTAGACTAATGCTTTCCCTCTCTCAGTCACTCCGCCCCCCGTTTCGCACTATCAGGGCTCTTATTTTCGATGCCACGACCAGCACCACCCCAGAAGGCGGGTGTGATGCAAGTGTTGGTAATGGTATAGAGGGGCAAGTGTCCCCTGACCAGATGCGGCGTGTAGGCGACGAGTTCGGTGCGCTACAGCTTCCTTACATGGAACAGGTGAGGGTGAGGGTGGAAAAATTGCGCGGGAGAGGCGTACGCCACATGTCCGCTTTCTGGCCTAGTGTACAACATCTGCAACCCCGTACCTGTCACCCAACAATGTGTTCAAACTCTACACGACGTACTCTATTCGCCTTCGGACAAACGCATATTATATACCCTTGGAGTAGATGTTGTAGCCTTGATTATCTCTTTCGTCTGGCGCTACTTCGGTTTGCCGTCTCACGTGTTGAAATGTACTTGTAACGGTTTCGTCCACCCTTGGATGGCGTTTTTGCACTTGCCTGAGATACAACCCAAGGCGTTCCACGTGAAAAATGTTTGTCCCTCAAGGTACTCACGCGATTTGCCGGATGGATCCATGGATCAATCCATCAGTCTGACCTCCCTTCCTCCCCCCGGATGTTTCATGGCGTCGTTCGTTGTTTTCGCTACATATAATGGAGTTAAACGTCCGCCTATCCCCCTCCCTGCTTGTCTTTACCTTTGTCTGTCGTGGTATGTGCCTATCGAGCACAGGATATCGTGAGCGCTCTTGGCTGGGTGCGAACAATGATATCTGATGTGCAAAACGTGCTGCTGGAGTTTGATGACAGCGATTTGGAGGAGCTAGCCCAGGTGGGGAGGAGGGGTTCAGCTCTTCGGTGTTGTTGCCCCACGTCTAAGGCCGTATTCACGGGCGGTGCTCACCGTTGATGGTTCGGCCAAGGCTTCACGGTTCAGCCTGGTGGTGGTTCATGCATAGACCGCGTGCACCTCGACACGTACCCGACATCATCTGGATCACAATAGCGAACGAACAGAAGGAAAAATGGGGCGCGGCGACTTTCTCGTTGAGTCTCGCCCTAGTAAAGATACGCCTACTGCCTCTAATGGCCATCGCAGAACAGGTCTCTCAGTTGACCGACTGGCTGATTGTCCCCGTTCCCCTTGGCGCATCTCCTGTCCTCCCTCAACTACCAGATGACCCTCATCTCTCTCCGAATACTGGTCGGCTACGCCAAGAGCACCCACAGGAGCCTAGCCCAGCTGTGCCGCGTGCCCTACCAACCCCGCCGAGAGCGCGCAAGAATGGCAGTTCACGCCGACCCTAACAACAACAACGCCTCCGCCGAAGCAAACCCCGCGGCGGCACGTGTCGGTGAGCTGTTCCAGGTAGACGAGGACGAGGACGAGGATGACGGTCATGAGGGGGGGGGCTTGCCTTGGGACCCCCTCGCCCCCAGGCTGTTGCAGGAGGCCCGGCGGTTGGCGGAGGAAGGGAAAGAGCGACCCTTCACGGCGGCGGTGGTGTTGGCGGCCGCGTTGCCGTTCTCCGGGGCGGCCGTGTTCTTGGGGGCGCCGGTGTTGGCCGGAGACGCGGCGCTGCAGTGGGGGGCTGCCACGCCCATGGGGAGGACGGTGGGGCACGGGACAAAGAATGTTGTGGAGGTGAGTGAGTGAGTGGGCACGGTGGGTGCAGCGCCCGGGCGGCGAAGGGCAGGGCGGGTGTTGGTGGGTGCACTTGCACGGTTCTCACGGTTCTTTGCGAGTTCGAAGAAGGAAGGTAACGCGCATGTAGCCGGGGGTGGGGTTGGCCGGGGGAAGGTTTGTCCTGTCCTGTCCTGCCCTGTCCTGTTCTGGCACGGAAGGTGTCTGGTGTAGAGGATTGTGTGCTACAGTGCTGTGCACACTTGAGGTCGGGAGGCCTTGGCCTCGAAGAAGACACGGTGCAGCAGTAGGTCGATCGATCGATGGATTACATCCTGTGCTTACGGCGGAACGAATCAAAGCTGTTTGAAAGTAGCTCACATGCCTGCTGGCTTGTGACCGGCACGGTTTTCGGTGGACCATGTTCTCTCTTCCGACAGCAGTATAGGCGCGACGCCCGTAGCTGTTCCAGTTGCCCCTTACATTCACGACATGTGCGTGTCGTTCGCTGGGCTGCCCCCATTGCCGCTATAACATGCCGTTGCTGCCCCTCTCTGTCTTTTCGTGATACACCGCGACTGCACTTCGATCCCCCTAACGTCCAGCTCGGCAAGCTCGGCTGGGTAGCGAGCAAGTTAGCCACAAAGCAGACGCTAAGACTGGCGAGCCAGGAGCTCGACCGAGCGGGGGGGGTGACGGGGCTGGCTTGTCGGGCAGGAGAGGGCGCTCTTTGGACGGCGAGACATCCGGTAGAGGCAGCCATGGCTACGGTAGGCATGGCCGCTGACGCGGCAAGCGCGGCGTACGAACAAGCGGTGTGGGTGGGAGATTTGCTCGCAACAGTCCGGGAGGAAGTGTTCCCTGGACCCGCGGAACCTGAAAGACGGTTGTAGATAAGGAAGGGCGTGGCGTCTCCAGTGTCTTGTTAGTCGGTGTGCATTTGTGGTACATAGGTTGGACCGATTGGAGGCGATATGTTGCATGGCACGTAGCCGTGGCTGTCTCACCAGCTGTAGTTTGCGCTCGGTCGTGCCTGATCATGTAATTCGTATTTTCTGTGGGACTTGGCGTGCGTTCGTACCACGGTTTCCCGGCGATGTACATACAAACCGTCGTTTGTGAGAATGGAGGGACCTTCGTCTCGCCGCTACAGAAGTAAAACCGGTAAAGCTATAGCAGTGTTGAAGGAAGTTACGTTCGCCGGAGGCCAGGCACAGCATTACCAAGGAGGTCTCCCAAGGTAGCCTGTCCCTGTGTTGTGTTTAGTGGTGGGTGAAGACTTCCAAACTCGGTTGGTTGGCAATGTGTCTTGCAGTATAATGTTTTTTCCATGGCCTTGGGAGAGGTGCGGCACGCAACGTAGGGCATTGGTTGCCGTAATACCGTAAATACCAAGGCGTGCTGTTGGCGCAGTTATACTAATATGTTGGGCGTTCGGGCGCAACGGCATGCACCAAAAATGCGGCAGAGCACGGGTGTCCCACGTGCAACAAACCAACCGAGCGGCGGTTGGTGGGGGTGCGACAATACAAAGCAAATAATCGTCCGGCTCTGGAAAATAGCACACTTGCAGGAAGGAGCCTTCTTGCCGGCACAGAGGCACTCGCTGGCCGCAATAACATGTGTGCATTCAAACAACAACGATTTCCCCCATGAAGCGTTACACGACACTTGAATCCTCCCTCGAATAGCACGCCACCACAAGGCGATGGAGGGTTCAATTGAAAGACGCTGCTGCTGGAAATACTCACTACTGTCGACGTTTCCACGGAGGTGTCTTCTTCATGACAGCAGTGACAGAAACACGTGCACACCGCTGTCGTAGGCTGCTGCTTGTTCCCCTGACGGCTCAAAACCGGTAAACCGTGCAGCTCGTACTCGCTCCTGTTCTACCAGTACACACTTTGAGTATCACACGCAATATGCATCTCTCTATTCGTCAGCTCGATCAAAGGCCGTCCGTATGATGAGGGCTTGACGGTGACAACGACATCCACATGTATTTCCAATCAAACCACGGTGCAGCAGTGGCAGTGCTGCCGCTACAGCAGTAATACGTGTCAACATCATAATTACATTTCACATCGACTAGCAGTCACGAGGTGCGCCTGTATCCCTAAAACAGCGGTAGGCCTCCCCCTCCTCCTCGACCTTCCACACGTGCCTATCCGCCTATCCGCCCATCTCATCATCCCATCACAAGCTCAGCGCACACACCGCAGCCCGTACGAAGGTTTGCTGACTGGAATGCCGGCAGAACAGAGCAAGAGAGACAGGGCCGCATCAATCGTCAATCCAGAGTTGCAGGGTCAACCTCTGATTCCGGCACGGCGCTGGGGGACGCGTCGGTGGCCTCACTCGTCACCGCCACCGCGTCCGTTGCCGGCACGGCATCCTCCACGGCCCCGTTCGGCTCCTCCGCTCCGTGGTCAGCGGCGGGCGTCGTAGCCGCCGCTGCCGCTGCTGTCGCGGCCACAGCTTCCCGCAAAGTCTGCTCCGCTTGGACCCTCACCGCTGCCACCAACGCCTCTGCCTGCGCCTCGGCTTGCGCCTGGGCAGCCGCCTGCGTCTCGGCTTGCGCCTGAGCAGCCACCTGGGTTGCCGCCTGAGCAGCCGCCTGGGTTGCCGCCTGAGTAGCCGCTTGCACCGCGATTGCCTCCGGGGATCGCACTGGCTGCCACCTGAATGAACACAAATGCCAGACGGTTCAACGGTTCAACGGTAAGGGGAAGGGAGAACAGTGGTGGTGATGAACATACAATTCACCAAGCATTGCACTGCTAGACACCCGTGTACAGTACATATGCATACGTACGAAACAGGACGTAGGGGGTTCATGTGGGATCTGAACTGCTGTAGCGAGTGCAGAGATTGGATGAAGGTCAGGACTAAAAACATGTGCGCGAGGCCACCTGATCGCGATCGATCGAAAACGGTTCTCTTGATCACGAGCCGTCATTCGGCCGCAACCGTACGCCTGCCTGTTCGCTGGCTGACGGGAAAGGAACACCATGGGGCTTTCTCGTCACGGACAAGGACAAACTTGTTCTATTCCTCAACGTGACTGCGAAACGCACAGACGTGGTTTGTTCGCAGGACGTCCTTCGGACGATTGAACCACCTCAAGCGCCCACACATTCCTTGCCTCGTAACGACAACAATCTCAGTGAAAGCATCCCATACAAAGCGTACCCGCACTCTCTTGGCAAGTCTTGGGTTGCGAAGGAAGCGGATGGCTTCAGCTGACTCACTTCGGAAACAAGCTGAAAAAGAAGGCGGAGAAGAAGTATCTTGCGTCGAGAAGTATCCCGCCTCCCTCCGTGATGACCGTAGCCCCCGTGCACAGCTTCTTCCAAAGCCCGCCTCCTTCTCTCCCACTCCCCAGGATCTCCTTCAACAAGCCCGTCCTGAAGAGGAACGCGAAGAGACCGCCCAGCGCCAGCAGCGCCAGCACCCACCCGTCCGCGTCGATTCCAAACACCAGGATAACTCCCATGCATTGAAACACCATCTTCAACCAGCTCCGCGCTTCTCTGCCAATATCGGGAGCGTTGGGAGCGGGGTCCACCAAGTTTCCCCTCCAAACCTCGCCTTCCTGCCCGAGCCCCGCGGCCGGGATGTGGCCCTCTGGGGGGGCCCCCGTCACATCCCTCACGCCTCCCCCCCCCGCTGGCCCCGGCATGTTGCCGCCTAGGGCCCGGGTCGCGGCCCTCGCCGATACCTCGGTGTACTGCTGCTGTTGCTGTTGCTGCTGCTGCTGCGACGGCGGTGCGGGACTGCTGTAGGTGGCCGTTGGCGTTCGGTGCCGATATTGCCGCTGCTGCGTGAGGGCTCTTGATTGCGCCGACAAGAAGTTGAACCTCTGCCGGTGCTCTTCCAGGGCCTTCTCGTTTTCTCTTAACGCTTGCTCGTACTGCCGCTGTAGCTGTTCGAGCTGCGTCTGACTCAACTGAACACACTCTGGTCGTTCGTTCGAAGATGCTGCTGCTGCTGCTGCTGCTGCTGCTGCAGTGTCGTGAGGAGCAGCCGGGGATGCACTACTGCTTCTCAGCGACGGCGTCTGTAGCGGCGGCTGCTGTTGAGGCCGCTGCTGCGGCAACGACGATTGCTGTGCTGTGGGCGTTCGCGCGACATCCGCAGTGCTGCCGCCCGCAGGAAGTTCTTGTTCGACGGGCTGCGAAACGATCAGGTGCATGTTGTGCTGCCCCGAAAGATCGAGCTGCGGTAAAGGTTGAGAGAAGGAGGGAAAGAAAGGAAAAGTGCATACAGCAGACAGCCACCGTGAGCGACAGAAGTGCGTCTGCGTCTGTCTTTCGTCGAAATTTGGTGAGGTACCACAAACTGTTTGTTCCCTCTGCCGTTGCAGCAACAGACGTCAGCACCGGTTATATTGACACTTTCCACAATACTGTGTGAAACAAACAAGCACCCTGAAGAAGGCCTCCGAGTCAAGATACAAGTGCTCTTGTGCCCGTACTTCTGCACTGGGCACGTTCTCTCCAAGTCCAGCATGAACCCAGCGAAACGAAGGCTGACATCCCAACAGCAGCGCAGAATGCAAACACACCTCGTGCTTGCGATACACATAGCGTTGGCAGTGGACGATAGCATCAAGTTGAAACAAACCAAGCTCACCCCTCTCATGATGTGCCCAAGCTGCTGCGTCTCTTCTTTGCACTGCTTTCCCCGAAAAATCAGGCGCTGCTGTTGCGGCGCAGGTCTGCTGACGAACGCTTCCTGTAACAACCGCTTCAGGTCGCCGATCGTGATTGTTGTCTCCAGGCTAAAAACCTTGCTGCTCCGGTGGTAGACGTCGGTGACGAACAGCTTGACCGGCGTACCGTCGCTGCCCCTCGCAGCCGCAATCATCTCCGCCTCGGGGTGCGAACGCCCAGCGGCCCTTGCGTCTGACTCTCCAGCCGTTGCCGCCGCCGCCATGACGTATAGTATTGCTGGCGCTTCGATACCTTCCCCTTCGGTTCTCCTACCCCAAACTAGGGCCAAGCGTAGCTAGCGGCCTCTCTCTGGTTCCAGTTGCGCTGTCCTGTGGGCCCACCTGCTGCCATTCCACGCGGGAATACACGATATTTTCTCCTGAAAACCGGGAGTGACGACAGGAAGCAACGGTGTGGCGGAGGAGGGGCAAGGAGGGGTTCATTGGTGCACCAAGGATGGGCGGGAGCTCAACACACGCGCTCGCTAGGGGCATGGCACCTTTTGGAACGCGTATAGATTTGCGGAATATCCCTGAAGTTGCTCCGTGTTGATTTTTTATATGCGAGGCGTGTTGAAGACAACGGAAATATTGTGGATATGTTGGAGAGTAAGTGCATTGTACCCGTCCGTGATGCTCCCTGAAGTTACTCCGTGTTGACTATTTCTATGGGAGGAGTGTGGCGTTTGAGTGGGCGAACATCACCCTGCTGGCTTTAAGGTCGACGGAAGGAACCCACGCAATGCTCGCAGAGTATTGTAGATCGTTTTGGTTTGGAAGATGGCAGGGAAAATAAATTAATCGCGCAATGTGAGGCAAATCTTGCATGCCTTGACTACCCTGTAGACTGCAGCAGTCACGATCTCTGTTAAGCCGGCATGGATAGCGCCAAGGGATTTGCCCCCTAATCCCGGGGACCTGACACTATTCCGAGATTCCGAGTACATACAGCAGTACGACATCAAATAAATCCCAAACAATGCATAAAATTTACGGAAAAACGATTTCACTGACCTAATGGAGGCTACTGAATGGAGGTTGACCGGCCATTTGTGCGGCCTTACCCACGCGGTATGATGACGGGAACCATTACCGACAGCTTTGTAGGCCAAGCCTGTACACGGGTGTCTGTGGATGTTGAACTACTCTGAGCATGTAGTGAATGTTCTGCGGTGCCTTCACTACGCAGTATATTTGCCTGACAGATCGCCGCCCTTGCAAGCTTAACACATGGAGATCACGGGGTCCGTTCCCAAAGAGAATACAGGTGGGTGTGGTGTCCATGGATGTGCTATTACCATATTGCTGGGGGTATAGGCTATAGACTATACCTTTCACCGACAAACTGCGTGTACGCATAAGACTACACGAAGAATGCACAGCTTTGGGTGTCGGATATCGATGAAGTAAAGGTTCGACAAGCAGGCATGCCTCGCTGCCAAATAATCATCACGCGCGGAGATAGCTGTGGTCGAGCTGATTTAGGGAGTTTGAGCGGATACAATGCCCGTTCAGCGTGACGGTTAATCCCTCTCGTGTATCTAGAGTTGCACATGGTCATGGTACTGCTGTACCGCCATATCGTGTCGGTGACCAAGTTGCCGCTGACACGGCGGTTTTCGGGCGCGTTGTCCGAACACGTGGAAAATTGTAAAATTGCATATCCGTGATGGCTCCGAAGACGATAGGGAACGGCGTGAGCTACTTTGAGCGTAAGGGACTATCAGGCACTCCCCGTGGGTCCCTGGGTCCGTCACCAGGGAGCAGGAAGGGCCGCGTGTCACGACAAGAGAGGAGGGCAGCTGAGCCCCCCCACGAGGTATCGTCTAGCAATACAGAGGAAAGGGCCGGCGCCGCGAAGCTATGATGTGCTTGGAAAACCCAACACCCTGCATCTGCTTTGGCGCAAGGAAAGTAGAACCAAAGCTTACCTGCAACGCTCGTCCCCGCTGCTCCGTGCTGTGCTTGCGTGAGGGCAGTAGCCTCGTACGTCAACTGCTATGCATATGCATTGCCCTTTCACCTGTGTTCCAAGCGTATCGCGTTCATTGGCCAACACTTGCGTCCCGAAAACTAATTACGCCGCACCCCGCACCACCTTTCAAACTATCCATCAACAGCAGCAGCAGTAGTAGAATTAGCCTTTACCCCGATTTGTCCCACGACGGGCCGCGCCCAGCGAGGATGGCCACCAGACAAAGCAAACGTGAGTTGATTTTCCTATCCCCATGCCATTTGTTGGTCTGCGCTTACCAGTGCGGATTGGGCACACAATGAAGTGGTACATTGCTGTTGCCCGTCACAATCGCCATCGATCGCCCCTGGGCGCACCACACAACACCTACCAGAGAGCTCAGCAGCAACCGAATGCGGGCATAAGAAAGAATCATGTACCTACTACGACCGGTGACCCGCATAGACGAAGTAAAGTGTCACTCTGTCGGGACACAGGTTATAGCAGGGAGTCGTACACCAGCAGCATATGTACTGGTGCCGTTCGAGCCGGCGGCCATGCAGCAGTGGAAGTATATAGAGCTCATGTGAGCAACAACAACAACAACAGCAACAGTGGCAGGTGCTGTTGAATGGTGTGCTGGAGCGGCGGCTTTTCTTGTTCCACAAGTGTCCCAGTGTTCCTTACGGCCTGCTAGGTCAGTCCCTGATATGAACCCATCTCGAAGAGCTGATTTCCTTCGTGACAGCTCCCTTATGATTGCTCAGCGGGAATATATACAGGAGACATGTGTTCAGTACACAAGAGTACAATGAAGTACCGTAGGTGACACAAGAAACAGCGACCGGGCACTGCCCTGTAGAAGCGAGTAGGGCGGCCGAGGCAGCACTTGTGGCGAACTATTTACCCGGCTGTTGTTGCGCCCTTTTTTCCTCCCTGCTGTATGCTATACTCTTTTGTGTATGTCTGTGTTTCTTTTTTTCATGACCTCCCTGCCTACTCTGCTGTGTTGGGTACCTTGATCTCGCTTTGCTGTTGCCTTTGTTTTTGTACGTCTGGCTGTCTGCCCATCTGCCGCCTCTTTGTCCTGTTTGCTCTGTTACTCCTTTGCCCTGGTGCGCAGTGCCTGGTGCTGGTACGTTACTCTTTGATATTTCCTTTGGGCGGGTGTGGGAAGCGTCCTCGTTTGTTTTTGTTTCTGTCTTGTTTTGATCGGTTTCCGAGGGCTCTTTTCTCGAACCGTCGGTGCGATGCCTGTTCTTTTCTATCATTTTGTTTCTTTTCCCGAGTGGTTTGCACCCTATTTTTGTTTTTTTTCGTGTTCTCGCGGCGTCGTATGTGCCGGGTGTTGAGACCACGGGCTCCCCATTTTTTGTGGACTATGGAGCTAATGTGAGAAACAACAACAACAACAACAACAAACAACAAGATACCAAACCCCCTGAACCGATTTCAGAGCTCGATTACTCTGGAGCCAAAACAAAAACGATGACGAACATGATGGTGTTCGATCCATGTCGTCGAGATCTTGCCAACATGGCATCGATTGAGATTGCCACCCTCTTCGTCGCGGAGTATGTACAGCAGCAGCCGAGGCGGTGTGGTATCTTGTGTCACCCACGGGTACATGACGAAGTATTCATATGTTCATATGCATACAATACCGTAGTGGTGGTGGTGAAGGTGGTCCTGTGCACGACACTTTCGCCCAGTTGCAGCTATTGCCCAAGGCCTTCAACCTGCTACCCCTGCAGCCAGCCGGATGACGAAAAGGCGCCGCGTACGTGTTTGTATTGAATTTCGAGCGCATGTTTCAATTTTGCTTCGAAGGTGAGACTGCTGTTGAGGACGATGACTTCGACGACTACGACGACGAGTACGAGAGCTTTCAGGGGGCAGGCGAGGAGACTGGGGTGCAGCTCGGCACGGTCCTACCGCTGGAGGGATCGCTGGCAGACAGCGTCCTGTTCAAGAACGTGGACTGGCACGACTGGGACGGTGGCAAGGCTGGAGGATGGCCTGTGAGATACAGTATTGTTACACAAGACGCACGGTTTTGGCATGGGCGTTTGATTTGCTTGAAGTTGGAGAAGAGGTCCTCGGCCGTCAGTACGGAGTATCCGTTATTGCTTTCACGCGGTATTCTCGTCTCCACTTTCGAGTCACTTGTAGATAGAAAGGATTGAATCTGTTCGAATTAGGCCTCCTGTCCCAGCAGGAGGACCTCACACTCGGATATGGTGCCGCGCTGAATCGTTCGGTATGGCATAACACCCCACAAATCATTCAACGGTGGACATGCAAAACATACAGCAGTATGTAGTCTCGCGGGGGTGGGATGGTCCCTGTTTTTTTGTTACCCTCTCGGCCTTCACCACGCCTCGTTTTGTGTGTGGGGGGGGGGGGGG